CCATTTATTCAATCATCTGTACGTTAATCACGGCTTCATTCCTCAATCCATCCGTCCGTTCTGCCGTCCTTAAGCGAGTCTATCCCTTCGTCTCTCCATCAGTCTATCTGTCTTTATTTCGCGTGTCTGTCTGCCTGTCTGTCTTTCTGATTGGTCTTTTCTTCCCTTCAGTAGCTTGAGATCTTCCGTCGGCAGGCTGACCGATTTGTTTTTGGTGGTGACTAAGCGACTACTTCATTCGCCGTACAGGCGTAGAAAAACCTCATCCTCATGTAAGCCTATAGTTTCCTTCGAAATGTCGGAGCAAATATCGGTGCACCATTGTCAATTACGTTCGGGTTCGTTCAGCTTAGTTTTGTCATCTCGTCGAATGCGCGGGAAAGACAAGGAATGGGCTAAGCAACGAAATACCCGCCGGATAAGAAGGAGTTCAGGAATTTGAAAACTGGTACCTCTTTTAGGAGTACAGCTGATTGTAATGGAAGCTCCTTTGAATACACTCTTGCAGTACTTTTGTTCGCTAGGTGAGGTGTTGTGTTGTGTGGAATGTGATATTTTTAACGAGAGAAGTTGAAAGAAAAACATCCAAGCCCTTAAGAGTCTTGCAGTGCTTTATTTCTACATATCAGAAATCAACTAAGTAGCAATGTGCACATCGAAGATTGATGCATCGAGAATGAATGCCTTAAAAATCCTAATTACTTTTGGCCTAGAATTCAAACTGTTGGATTAGAGCACAATTGACAATTGTGTTATTAACAATGGACCAAACAGTTTCGGTCGAGGCTAGAAGTTTTTCTCTAGGTGAGGTGCTGTGTTGTGTGGAATGTGATATTTTTAACAGGAAAAGTTGAAAGGAAAACATCTAAGCCCTTCAGCAGCGCTTTATTTCTGCATATCAGAAATCAACTAAGTAGTCATGTACACATCGAAGATTTATGCATCGAGAATGAATGCCTTTAAAATTCTAATTACTTTTGGCTCAGTATTCAAACGGTTGAATTAGCACACAATTGACAATTGTGTGATTAAAAATGGACCAAACAGTTTCGGTCGAGGCTAGAATTTTTTCTCTAGGTGAGGTGTTGTGTTGTGTGGAATGTGATATTTTTAACAAGAAAAGTTGAAAGAAAACATCTAAGCCCTGCAGCAGTGCTTTATATCTACCTATCAGAAATCAACTAAGTAGTAACGTGCACATTGAGGATTAAGTTTTCTATTATTGCACTTTCGGTAAACCATGGGAATATATTTCAATCCAAATGTGAGTTAAGAAACTTTTGGTTAGTAATTATTATTAAAAATCCCATGGCAAATGCTAGAATAAGTGATTAAATGCTCCGGTTTGAAAATACACCATCAATTATTAGACATGCTCCTGGCACAAATAGATATGCTTGGAAAACTTGCAAACTTCGATGGGGTCGAGGGCTCTAAGCAAGGACAAGCGCAAACACGGCCAGCGATGACAATTATCGTACAACAAGCCTATTACAACGGTCGAGGACCAACTACTCAAAAGGTAAAAATAAATGTGTGGTCTTGCAGCACATAACAAACCAAGGCTCACATAAGACTCTCATAAGGATTGCAAAATAATTTAACAGGCCTAAACAATTCACAAACACTAGGCCAGAACATTCCTAACTTTAGTAGTTGCCGATCATTCTAAATTTAGTAGTTCATACGATTGACGAGGTGAAAATGAAAAAAACTAAATTTCCCTATCATCAAAAGACATCTAAGAGGAAAGAAAGAAAATTATCATGTTCATGCCGAACTCTGTCAAAATCAAGCTGTTTATCAAAATCCATATTTATATTTGCTTAGGTTGATGGATGTACGGTCGCAATTTTCGATTTAACATGAATATTTTCGGTATGCAGACCTGGCGTTTGACCTCTCGTATCGAACTCAATATTAACTCCAGGGCGAAATATCAGTAGATGGGTGGACCCACCATAGTGAAACATGCCAAGCTGGTCACCTTTCTTCACTTTATCCTTTTCTTCAATCGTGATTTCGTTGGAGGACACCTCTGACATACCGAGCGATACGAAGCACATCAAGCCAATGTGGGGATTATCAGCTTGAATGTAGATAATACCTCTGGCAGCTACTTGGGCTAGGTATCCTTGTGACATGCATATGTTGGCCGATGCGGGGCTATCCTGAATGTCGTGGGTTGCAGAATAATAAGAACCATCCACGAGTTCTGTCTTGTAAATGGTGCCCGACACAGGACTGTGCCATCGGTGATAACTGGTGGCACTTAGGTACGCTTGGTAGACGGTTCCACCATGAAATTGCTTGGCAAGGTTACTCATGTTCAGGATGAAGTCCAATGAGTACCGTTGGTGCTTTGCCCAGAAGAAGTCCCTCTTTTTCACGGCTGTAGAGATCTGGTATGGTGCTGACTCACAGGCATTCGCAACAATGGAATCGTCTTCCGGAGATGCTACTGGACGAATGCCATCACGAAACTCTCTGGTGAAGAAGTCATCCCATGATGTAAAACCATAATGTTTTTCATTAGGCTTGCATTTGAACTCTTGGACGAAGTTTGGCATTGTTTGCATTGCGTCTTCACCAAACCAACCATGACGAGGATCATCAGTCAACACGTGACAAGAAGCAGAACTGGAAAGAAACTTTCCCCAGTAGTTGAGAATACTTTTGAACAACCTGTTGACTTTGTCGTTGAGGAAAGCAGAAAATCCAGCAGTCGTAGCCATCGGCCAGTTCAGGATTACATTGATGGGGAGACCAACCAAACTGGTTTTGTTGTACTCTGGAGCTGTTGTCATGATGTAGTCGATTAAAATAATCATCAGTTGCCAACAAGGGATCCTTGTTCTTTTCGAACCGTCTGGATTCTTGTACTGTTGCCAGAACATCTGATGGAAGAACATATTGATCTCGGGATCGGAGATGATAGCTTTCAATAATTCTTGAACAGGTGGATGGAGACCGAGGTCTTCTTCTGTACCGTGAGCAACTATCGGCGGAGTTTCACCATCAGCTGTTTCTTCATCTTCAGCCGGTGGATGAAGAGCCATCAATAACGCTAACTTATCTTTGTATTTAATTTGGACCTCTGTGATGAAGTTGGCTAACCATTTGTCAGGAAATTTGAGGTCAGAAGGAATCCATTGACCAACACGGTAAGGTCTGAAGCTCATGATTATGTTGCATGTAGTTCGCGGCTTGTTTTGCTCGTAAATGATATACTCCTGTAGAGTGTGTCTGCTTTTAACTGCAATACAGATTTCATTGCGCAAACGCAAATGACGCTAAAATACGTGTGCGTGCAACTGTTGCTTGAGAAACGTTTGTCTGGAAATTTTTCCTGCCTGATAAAGAAGAAAAGTGTTCTGTCTAGATGAGAGGAACTAATTGTATCTTCCTGCCTGATAAAGGATAAAAGCGCTTTGTCCGGATGACAGGCCTCTTTCATACCGTGACCATCAACAGGTTGTTAGAGAAACACGAACTAATTAATTCGTAGCAAAACGCAATTTAAATGAGATTTCTATCAAAATCTTAGAATGAGTAAACTTATTCCAATTCTTTAAACTGTAACGTTAATGACGCTTGTTTAACTGACTCCTGTTTTACCACATTAACTTTGATTGAGAATCAGATCGGTGAAATATGGAAATATTATTTTCAAACATTCCTGCTAACAGAATCACAGCCTAAACAACGCCTTCACACGAAGGAAAAAAAGCTTAGTTCTTAATACACCTGATGAGGTTATTTTCATTCCTTGCATCTTCAATCAATGCCAGTTTAGACAAGTGTAAGATATTACATGCGTGTATGTTAGTATATCAAGGCCCTTTTGCTTCTGCAGACCCAATAGTTCAAACAACACGTCAATTTTGCGTAGACTGGACGAACTGATCGAAATTCGGAGGTATCCTCCGAGCAGTTAATTAGTCAAAATATTTCTTAGCGAAGTCAGGAATCAAACTTACCTTACAATCGGCATGGAGACCTGCATGTATTTAGATGAAAGTAACAAAAAGAGTAGAAGAATACTCGATGGCGGTTCGAGACCATTATGTAAAAAATGTTCTCAAACACGCTATCTATTATACTACTAACCACAAAATGGTAATTATTTGATGATGTAAATATAATAAAACAATACTTGCATATCCATGACAAAAGAACTCTCGGAAACAATTTCCACGGATTTACGTTATCAGAGAAACACGGACTTGATGACTGATCAGTTCTCGTAAACTTCTCTCTCACATTACACTAAAATGAGTGTGCCTGATAAAGGATAAAAGCTTTTTGTCTAGACGACAGGAATTAATTGTATCTTCCTGCTTGATAAAGGATAAAAGTGCTTTGTCCAGATGACTCATAAACTTCTTTCTCACAAGTGTTTTTTGAGTTTTAGAAATGATTTAGCAAAACTTAAGGAGACGATTAAAAACAAAATTTGGAATGCGTGTGCGTGGAACTGCGCTTGAGAAGCCTTTTTCTGGAAATTGGTCTTGTCTCATACAGGATAAAAGCGCTTTGTCCAGATGACAGGCCTCTTTGAAACTATCAACGTTAACGGGTTGTTAAGGATTGGCAACCGTTGGCAATATGCCGGAGTGTGAAAGGCATTATCCTATGTCCCGCGTGAACTAAACAAAGTCATACATTTTGGAGACGTTTACATGCAGATTTTCTTATCGAAGTATACAGGAATAATGGAATAACTGTGTTTTACTTACTTTCCGACTGAGGGGTCATTTTATCTTGAGCTTTAGATTACAATGAACTGAAATGATTCCCCGTAATAGACGCTCTTTGTTGTCTGTTTAAATATCATTGTGGGATTTGGCTTAAGACAAATTATCCCGCGGAAGAACATTTTGGCTTTTAATAGTCCTCCAGTAGTTCGTGGATCATAACATAAATATCAACCTGATTTAAAGATCACATTCAAAAGATGTTGATAGAGTAAGATACAATTAATTCGTAGCCAAACGCAATTTAAATGAGAGTTCTATCAAATCTTAGAACGAGTAAACTTATTCCAATTCTTGAAACTCTAACGTTTATTGCGCTTGTTTAACTGACTCCTGTTTTACCACATTGACTTTGATTGAGAATCAGAGCGGTGAAATATCGAAATATTGTATTCAACATTCCTGCTAACAACATCACAGTCCAAACAACGCTTTCACACGAAGAAAAAAAGCTTAATTCTTAGTGCACCTGATAAGGTTATTTCCATTCCAAGCGTCGTCAATCAATGTCAGTTAGAAAAGTATAAGATATTACATGCACGTACGTTAGTATCTCAGAGCCTTTTTGTTTCTGCAAACCCAACAGTTCAAATATCACGTATACACTGCGTAGACATTGACATGCAGCGCTTTTTCTTGATAGGATTGCTTACGTAATGGTCCAAGGTAGTGTTTTTCTCTATTGATAATCTCAGCACTTGAAAGGTAATTGGAGCAAAACGTGAGTCATTATTGAGTAAGTGGCACCACTCGTACAACTGCATGCTGTATGAATGCCAGCACAATCGCGTTCGTGCCAGAGGAAGATCCCGAAGGCACGCACATTGATCATTCTTACTCATACTTTTTCTGTACGTGAGCCAAAACGTCTGCTGGTACCCAAGGTTGAAAAAGCCAGGTCAAGTCAGTCTTGACTACGAGTTTGTTATTTCACTTTATTATTTTTTGTAACTTGATAGTCCATTATGTAAAGTTTTTTTAGTCTTTTGCTACCGAGGGAATATAAAATAATTAGCATACTATCGCATTTCATTTCGTGAGATGGTTGATTATACACATTATACGCATGGGACCAGGGAGAGTAAGATTTCAGGGGGAGGTGTAGGTTTCGTTCGATTCTCGTATTTCGTGTACGTGACATG